AGGGTTCTGGAGAGGTTGAGGGGGCAGGGCTAGGAGTGGGAAAGTACTGAGAACTGAGTCAGAGTGGAGGCAGGTGTCAAGTGTCCCTCCTCCATGAAGAGGTTCTCTTATGCAGGGTCTCTTGAGCATCTTCCCCATGGAGGGAGGGGCATATGAGCCCCTACCTGAAATTCTCTCCAGGGAATGCAAATGTGTGCATGGGGCTGGTAAAGGCCAGCCTCCCCCTTAAACCCACCAAGTGAGCCTTTATAATTATGTGCAGCCTGAAAAGTTACTCATACCAGTTTGGCCTGGAACTGTCTCCTCAGAGAGGAGCCCCTCAAAAGTTTCTCTCTCTCTGTAACAGATCCTCTAACTCCAACCACCTTAATCTCCAGGTCATTTCAAGGAAACAGCCAACACAGAGGACAGGGAGGGTCCACAGAACAAAGGAAAGCTCCTGATCTCTGGAAGTCACTAACATTTTCTTATTGATTGATTTCCCACTTAATTTTATCATGATCATGGAATGGTCTGCAAGGTGTTGGGCCCATAAATTTTGTTAAGAATTACTTTGTGGTACACAATTGATCAATTCTGGAAATACTTCATGTGCACTTGAAAAGAACATATATTGGGGCACCTGGGTGGCTCAGATGGTTAATCTTGTGATTTTTTTATTTTGCTCAGGTCATGATCTCACAATTGTGATATTGAGCTGCACATCTTCAGGCTCTGCAGTGGGTGTGGAACCTGCTTAAGATTCTCTCTCTCCCTCTGCCCCACCCCATCCTCGCTCTCTCTCTCTAGCCCCCCACCCCGAAAAAGAAAGAAAGAAAGAATGAAAAAAACGAGCATATATTCATGGTCAGTGTTTGAGTGATGTTCAGTGTAAGTCAAGGACAAGTTGATATGCCTCTATGGGAACTTCAGAACGTGGCTGATGTCCTGCTTCAGCTGAGTTTTGTCAGGTCCTGTGGTTTGTGTTTGTGCTCTCTCGCTGTGATTATGGATTTGATTATCTTTCCTTTCTATTCATTCTGTGTCTGCTTTGAATATTCTGAGATAGGTACCTACACACTTAAGAGTTGTTATATCTTCCTAGTAAACAATATTTCCATCAGTGAAATGCCCACCTCTATTTCAAGCACTGCCTCTTGTCTTAGAGTTTTCCATTTTACGGAATCTTAGCACTGTTACACTGACATTTTTTGGTGGGCATTGACATAGTATACTGTAATCCATTCTTATTTTTCCCATATCTCAGTGTTCTTATATTTGAGATATGTTTCCTTTTTGTTTTGCCTTCTTCTATTTTTTTCAGAGGTCAACTAACCATGTCTTTTAATTACAGTACACAATTCATTTATATTATCCTAACTAAATTGACTACTGTTCAGCTTTGTGCTACTATTTTCATGTGTACTAATTCTATATGTATTTAACAATCTTTAATACAATATCATGATTGTACGTGTCAAAATATCATCTAGATGTATCCACAAATTTATCCTTTTGATGTGTTTGTTCTTCTTTCCTTCCTACCATACTATTTTTTCCATCTGGGCTTTTTTCTCCTTCTGCCCAGAGAACTCCCTTTAGTCTTTATTTTAGAACAGTTCTCCTGACAGCAAATACACTCCATTTTGCTTATTTAAAATAATTTGGTTTTGTATGTGTTTTTAAGAGAGATTTTTGGTGCCCAAGGAATTGTAGGTCAGTGGTTAATTTCCTTCAGTGGTTAGCAAGTTCATGACAGTATCTTCTTACTTGTTTCTCATCTGAGGTCAGCTAAAAGCCTGATGGTGGTTTATTTGAAAGTAAGAGATCTTTTTACCTCTGGCTGATTTTAAGATTTTTCTCCCTAAATTTGATTTAGAACTGTTTTATGCTCCACTGTGGGTTTCTTTCATTATATCCTGCTTAGGGTTTGTAACCTTGCTTAAATCAATGGTTTGATGTCTTTGATCAATTATAGAAAACTCAAGCTTTACATTTTCAAATACTGCTTCTGCCCCATTGTATGTTGCTCCTCTATGGGGAAACTCTCACCTCACCCTTCTTTGTTTCCCATCCTGCATCTGCTCTGGCCTGCCTCCCCCCGTCTAACTTCCATGCAGTTTAACCTGACAATCACATCATTCATTTCTGTTACTAATTTTTCAGTTCTAGAATGTTCCTTTTATTCTTTTTGGTAGCTCCTACTTTTCGCCCATATTATCCATCTTTTTCCCCTAACTTACTCATCTTGAGGTTAAAGCCCCTTATCTGATAACTGCCCTGTTGAGACATTCTCAGGTTTGTTTCTATTATTAAATTTTGTTCTTGATTTACACATCAAGTCTTGTCTTTTTTTCTTATTGTTTTTGACTGAGTGCTGGACATTCTGTGTTTTTAACATCTATAACTAATTGAGACTTTCCCTGATTTAGAAAATATTTTACCTTGATCTGATAGCAATGCACAAGATGTGAGCCATGGGAGAGGCTTTTGTAAAATATAGACCATTTCAGAGAAAATGTCATCATCTAAAGAGTTGATTCCAAAAGTGGGTGCATCCGGGAGACTGGAGAAGAAAGAGAGGTTGTACAGGGTCTATGGGGCACACTAGAAGACTTTGGGGCCGATGCTGGAGGATGGAACCTGAGTGTGGGGCAATTGAAGATGGAGGTGAGGGGCCAGTCTAATGAATGCAATGCTCCAGGACATTGATTTGTTAGTTTTGATTCACTGACAGTTTTGCTGGACTGACAATGTTGCCTCATAAGAGAAGACAAGGAAGCAGATAAACAATAGCAGTTTCTGTGGTAAGTGATTTTGCTCAGAAAATAATATTTGGAAACTATCACAAGAAGGAGATAACAAATGGCTAGTTACATGTATTTCCAAGCTTTCGTTTCTTTGCTAATGCCTGTGGATATTTGTGTTTGGAAACCAAAAAGTTAACATAAGAGCTGGACTCAGTCTATGAGCTCAACTTAAGAAAAGCACAGTAAAGAATCATGACACTAGCTATCAGGGCCCTGACAGGGAAATGGGGAAAGGAGCTGGTGGTTAATAGAGACCATCTCATAACTTCAATTTTATGACATTGCAGGGAAAGTGACATTTTGCCTTCACCTCCTCCCTTTCCCTTTTGAAGTTTCCCTGAAGACCCCAGTGCTGAGATTTTGGATAAGCCCCTATTTCAGGAGAGGTTTCACAAATATATTCCAGGAACTTCTATTCCTTCAGGCCAGGAAGTCCCATAAAATATTCTGAGTTTTGTGGAAATCGAGAATTTCTGAGAAGTGTGTCAATGTTTCTATGTGTGAGCTTGTATTGTAACTTCCAAGTATATTTTTGCTCCCTACTGATTTGGGACAATGAGTCACTGGGCTGGATCTGGAGAAGTCTCTCCAGGACATGATGACACAGAACAGGCTGCCTCTGGTGCTGACTCACCTTGGACAGTATTGTTTCATTCAAAACCTACTAATGTGGGCTCACCACGGGCAGTGGTGGCAGACACATTTACCTGCCCTACCAAACACTCTTGCACAAACCATGACCTGTGAACATCAGTTCCATGAATGGGGCCATGTTTTTAATCCCTTATTCTGTCAGAGCAGGAACAAGAGGAAATACATTGGTCACAAACAAAATACCCTAACTACAATTCACACATTTTTAAATATCACAGTTCCTTAGAAAACTATTTCCCAACTGTGGCCACAGTGCCATGCACCTGGGGACTTCATGTATTTCTGGTGGCTGGTCACAAAGATTCTTCTATGTAGTGGTGGGAGGTGGGTATGGCCTGGGCTCTACATTTTTAAAATGAAACCAAGGATGTTTTCATGTGGATCAAGAGACAACATGACAGACATAGTGAGAAAAAAAACAAGACACCAGGCCATCCTCAGGTGAAGCCCCATGGCCCAAGAACAATGGTTCAACCCCTCAGAACCTGAGGGCTCTAAAGCAAGGGTGGAAAATAGGTCAGCTCTGCTGACCACACAGACTTACCTTGTAAGATTGTGTATGTCCCTATCTAAGTTACAAACTCTACTCTCAGATTGGTCAAAAAACCAAAGCTGAATGAGGCCACTACTTCTGTGCTATACCCAATGGAACTATCACCAATTTTCTTGGGAAATCCTGTCACATCATTGCTTATGACCACTTCATGAAAAATGGATTGTCTGGGAAACAGGCAGACTTTCAACTAGGAACCACTCACATCAGTCTTTAGAAAGCCAGGAAGAAGGAAGAAAGATACTTCAGCCCTTACATTCTGAAAGATTCCTTCAAGTAGCATTGTCGGTGCTTCTCTATCCCAGTCATGCCCCCAGGTGCTCCCATACCCTTCCTTACTCTGCCCCTTCAGGGCTACTCCCAACAAGGATCCCTGAAGACAGAGTTGCTCATCAGACTGGGTGTCTATCACCACAGTGCCTATCCCAGGGGTAATGACTGGTGTTGACAGCCATGGAGGCCAAGCTGTGTTGGGAAGGAAGCATCATCAGGGAGCAGGTAGGACATGGTGACTGGAGCTACCATTCTCTGAGCTATCCTCAGAGGCCCTGGGATGACTTTCTATGTGTCAAGAGGCTCATGTGCAGATGGGTATCCATGGAAGGCAGAGCATCTTATCAGCTTCACTCACCCATCTCCAATCTCTGTAACTAGATATGGCCCCTCCTCAGAAGGACCACCCCATTGTGAGCCTGGCCCCAGAACTCAGAGAAACAGGTGTCTGCTCCTTGGAAAATTTGTCTGCATTCCTTTTGAGTGGTATGGATGAGGGGCATGGAGAGATTGGAGGATGAATGAATAGGTGAGTGGTTACAAAACAGTGCAAAACAGACAGGGACCCAGAAAGTGCTCTGAGAGACATTTAATTTTCCTGGTACCAAAGAGTCCTGGGACTACAGACTGACTGTTGTTCTCTGGAGGGAAAGGAACATCTTAAAAAAAAAAAGATTTTATTTATTTATTTGTCAGAGAGAGAGAGAGAGCACAATCAGAAGGGGGGAAGACAGAGGAGAAGCAGCCTCCCCACTGAGCACAGAGCCCAATGCGGGACTCAATCACAGGACCCTGAGATCATGACCTGAGCTGAAGACTGATGCTTAACTGACTGAACCACCCATGTGCTCCAGGAACTTCTGCTTGAGGAGCCAGGGGCCCCTTCTCTGCCTATTTCTGCACGCAGGTACTGTTCAGGAGGAAGAACTGGGAAAGCCATGGTCTGGCATCCACAATAAAGGTGCAGTCCAACTGAAAAAAAAAGTAATTATGAGATTAGAACAGTTTAACACATGGAGAGCACTTCACAGGAAGGACTGAGTAGGAGTTCAATGTACATGAAAACTACAAATGATGAAAAGCAAAAAGAAACAGTGGCCTAGCGTAAGATCTGAGGAGCTCAAGTCTCCACCAAAATGATGGGCAGGGGTTGCTGAATCTGCACATGTGGGTCGGGGGCTCCTGAGAGGGTCCCACCAGAACCCCACTAAGACCCATGGGTCTTGCCAGTACCCATGACACTTCCTGGATGCCCTCTTTCCCCATGAGCTCTGAGGGAGCCAGCAGGCTGCTGAGGAGATGGTCCAGCTGGACACTGGACACTCAGCAAGAGCTGCAAACCTACCCAGAAGGGAGGCTGCCCCTCAGTCTGGGATGAGGGGTGGGGCTCAGACAAGCCCCACTGAGGGTGTCATCCTGACTCTGGCTCATGCCCAGAGTCCAAGTTCCCTGGACGATATTAGCTCATAGATGATGACCCAAGAAGACTATTACACAGGCCAGCTGTGAGCACAGGACTCAGTGGGCCGGAGCAGCTCTGTTGCATTAGAATAATCGTATTCCCCTCAGAGGGAGCCCTGGGACCTAAATGGAGAATGGCCAGGACTCTTTCTGGCCCAGGATCATCCCTGATAACTTCCCTAAGCCTCCTTCCATTCATACTCCTTTATATGAAGGTTCATCTTATTCTCAAACCTTTTTCTCTTCTGGACCTTCTTGCAAGGGGCAGTTTTCCAGGTCTTCATCCTCTTTTGTACAAATGGTTTGGCCCAATTCCAACTCCATTAAATATATTAAGGCAAACTGCTGTTAAAAACAAATTGGAGAAACTGCAATGAAATACTTTGTTTTAATAAAAAAAAAAAAAGCAGAGAACCAAAAGGAAAACAGGCAAAAGCTATGAATGTGCATATATAAATGAATAAGGACATACATATGTACAATGTCTTTTATTTTTCTTATTTTTAAATTGATTTATTATTTCACCTTTCCCTTTTAATTCTCCATTTTTCTTACAAACAGTTGTCCATATGTACACCTGAAGCATGTACAGGAAACTTCTCTGATGGCCTGCACCTGCTAGTGGCATCTACAGCGCCATGAATGCACAAGAGGGAATAGGCTCACAGGATCAGAGGCCGCACAGCATGGAGTCTGCACGGGCCAGCAACCCTAACAGCACCACTGATCTCTCAATCGTATGCCTGCGTGGTGTCATCCAGACACAGGGGAGCACACCAGAGAATCCTACTCTGGAGAGGAGGGTAGCAGGTCTGTTAGTCCACTGATGAGTCATCGCAGCTGGTGGTCCCTTTCAGAGCAGCGTCTAGACAGGGGTGTAGGGGGTCCTGTGGGCTGAGGATGTTTGTCTCTTTATGTGGGAGTTGGCTGCACAGAAAGGCTCTTCTTGCTAAGGTTCATTGAGGTGAATATTTATGAAGAAGATGCTGTTCCATGTGTTTGTTAAGCTTCTATCAGAAGTTATTAAGTTACTATTTCATCTTGTTAAATAGAAAGAAGTGCATGAATACTTAAGAAGAGCTCAAGTTTAGAAATGTAGCCAGAAATCATGGTGGGGAGGAAACTATCTCTCACTGGACTGATCTGGAATTATCTAGAAGACCTTTGTTTGGGGTTCAGTTCTTACAGGTGACACATGATGCCCACTCATGACCCAATAAGTACCACTACCAACACACACACACACACAAACACACACACACACACACACACACACACACACACACACACACACACACATTCATGTACCCCTAGCTTCACTTGCATGGCCCCCAGACCCTGAGCTAAGACAGGCACAGGGGCTGGAGCAGCAGCTATAGTCTCTATGCCCCAGGGGCTCCCACATCCTCCAGGTGTCCAGGGTTGGCTGCTGTCTAAGAAGAGGCAGAGGGTCAGGAAATGGGAAAGACTGAGGGAAGCCAGTGGGTACTGTGCAGGGAGGGGGCCACACCCAGTGTGATACAGAGATGAGACTTTACCCATCAGGGCCTTGCAGACATGATGCCTGGCTCAGGACTGTTCATGCAGGGACCAGAATCTGGGCATGGACAGAATGAGTTCTGGAGAGCAGTCTGTATTCCATTCAAAGAAAGCACAAACCGATAAAAATAAACAGTAGTGAGAAAGGTTTGCCCAACAGAGGCTAAGGACACATTTCTGTCAGGCCCAATATTTTCTCTACTCTTAAGGCTCTGTAACCCATGGCCTCCTTCTGCATGGGCTATTTCAGGAATCCTAAGTGTGATGTGCTGCCCAGCTCTGTTTGTGTCTCCTCCAACCTTGCTCTGTTGTCTTTTCAGTTGATGGAGTCACTGCACACCCATGTGTTCTGGGAAAACACCAGGGGTCCATATTTGACCCCCTCTATCTCTACACCCTCACACCAGCACACGCCACATTGACCTCCAACACATGCAGAAACCAGCACTTCTACTTCCCAGTGACCAGAGGACCATCCCCTGCATCTTGGTCTCAGGCTGCATGGCTTGTGGAATCCTGAGTGAATTCCTTCAGTGGATCCCCAGATCTTCAAGAATAACATCTCAAATCTTTGGCGGGGGCCCTGAAATGCCCCCAGCCCTACCTCCCCTTGCACTCCTGCCTCTCTGCATCTCCTTCCCTACAACCACAGTCCACAGAATTTCAGGCTGTCCGCAAGTATATTTGTTGCTTGCCCCCAACCAGGGTCCTCTCCAGGGCTGCCTGCCCTTCTCATCCTCAACCTCCATGTGACCAAACCTTTCCAGGAGTATGCATCATTGAAAAGCCTTCCCTGACTTCTCCCCTTGTCCCCAGCTTCCCCTCTGCCCTGGGCCCCCACACTGCTCTTCTCCAGCCTTTCCCTATTCCACTCATGAACTTGGAACCATTGGCCTGTCCTCACTAGCACCACAGTCCTATGAGAACATGTCCCAATCTGTCTGCTCTGCTGTCTCCCATCCAGCCCTGGACCCACAGTATTTCATGCAGAAGACTCACAGCTCAGCCTCTGAGATGCCTTTCGTTCTTGGGCTCTTGCTTCCCAGTGACTGCTTTTCTTAGTCTTTCTGGTTTCTTGTCTCCCTGCTGCTCTGACTTCTCCCAACCACCTCACTGGCAGCTTTTCTTCCCTCTCTCACTCTGCAACTGGATCTCTGCTTTCAATGCTTGCTTTCTGCTCACCTTCTTTCCATCCCTCTGTTATTCAGGGGCTTTGCTCATGAAAGAAATCAGAGACTCAGAACACTTCTAATGAAATCTTGCAACTTTTTAAACAATATTTACCAAATTAAAACATCATTGCTCTTTCCCGCAGATCAAGGACTCACCCCTCCCAAGTGTGGTCTCAGGGCAAATATGGAGCCACCCGGAGGGAGGACACTCAACTCACCTTGCGCTGGCTTCGCCGCACCCACAGCAGCTTATACGCATACTCATCTGGGTAGACTTGGTTGAAATGAAACACTGCAAACTCAACACACAAGATGAAGTAATTTGTTCTACTACCAATGTCCATAAAGTCGGAACTGCAGACATGAGGCGCCAGCACAATGAGCCCCAGAATTAGAGGTGCCTTCAGGAGCATTCTGTCTGGTGTCAGTCCTGGAGACCAGCAGCAAACAGGTGGCAGGGTGGCAGCTAGTTCGGTACCACCCTCTGAAGCTCTGCATCCCACACAGCCCGATACCAGGGAGTCCCTGGGCTGCTGGCCAGTGCTCTGTCCAGCTCCTCCCCTTCACTGCCTGCCTGTCCCTCCCATCATCACTAACAGAAGGCAGAGCAGGGGCTCACAGTTTTCACTGCTTTGTTCCATAAGCCTTGGACCCAGGAACATGCATGTAATATGCTCTGTTTCCAGTGCTGCTTCCACCTGCCCCAGCCCAGCCCTAACAGACTCTGAATGCAGGTCTTAAACCCAACTCCCTTGCTCTCATGGCAGTGTATCCTACAACTGCCAGGTCACAAGAGCTCTTAGGAACACTGGTGGACTCTGGGAAGTTGAGGTAAAAACCAGGTCTCCCTCTGACCATGGCTGCAGCCATCAGGAGGGTACAGGGAAGGGTTACCATTGGGGCTGGGTTACCATCCCTTCCAACACCTCTAGTACCAGCTGACCTTCTTTCCATGAGGTCTAATTGTGTTTGGCAGTGGGGAGAGAGGTTCCTAATGTCCTGGATGGGTGGAGAGAAATCCAGGACAAGGCGGGGTGCCAGCCCAGGGCAGAGCTCAGCTGGAATGGATGTGGATGGCAGCCATGGGCATGAGAGGGATAGGGACTGGGAAAGACAGGTCTTGCCCAGCCCTAGCTAACATGTTTTTCCACACAGCGTTGCCACTTTGAAGTCCCATGGCCTTTGTCGAGTCATTTTTGTTAGGCTTTTCTCAGAGGAACCACAGTACCTGTGAGTGTCCTACCTGACCTCATACAAGGCATTGAAGTGAGTGGACCAGGACATGTTGCCCATGCATGTGAAGACACTGCAAGGGAAGGATTTTCCCACTTTGGGCTTGGAGTAAACAGACACCTGAACATTGATGATGATCCCAGAAAGGATACAGGGCCAGGGCCACAGCCGGATAGGCCATAAAGACAGATTGGGACTACCCCAGAAAGAGATAGGAATGTGGCCAGAATGGCAGACACCTTTGTGACCACCTTCACTGTTGCACATCAGTAGACAGCTAGCAACCTGGGTGTCTAAGGATAATCATGACGAGGACTCCACACCCTGCCTAGAAGTGTGTCTGATCCTGAGTGCTGCCTCCCCTAAGAAGCTCAGGTCCCCACGTGGCTGGTTCTTTCTCCCCACTCCCAGCAGCGGGATGACCAGAGTGGCCATTGTCATTTTTTGAGACCTGCAGGATACTACCGACATGGGTTGTGACTACCTTCCTTCTAGATATCTCGTACCAGGGGTCAGCAATTTCGTGAGGCCTGCCAATGGACCAACTGTTGCATTTCATGACCCTTTCTATCAAGCTGTTTCTTCTTTCCTTTGTTTATGTTTTTTATCATAATTTCTTCCATTTTTGCGGGAGACTGTGATCACCCATAATTTTTGTGCCCATCCTCTGCATGTGCCTGTCCAGACTGTCACTTACCTTGAAGCTGAACCTCAGGAACACCACATATGCTTTTCACATCATAAGTTTAATCATTTCCTTTGATTACATATCCTAATCAGAATTGTGATTACTCATGTTCTTTTAAGGTGTGTTGCTACCTCGACAACCATTTTTCTCCTTAATTTAATCAAAATGTCCCTGCAGCCAGAGACACTTATCCCTAAAGAAATTAGTTCTTTCAAATTCTTTGAGATTTATTTTATGGATCAGAATATGTTCAGTTTGGATCCATAGTCTATCAGCTCAAGAAGGATACGCGTTCCATAATTGGTGGTAAATATTCTATATAATTGTTACTAATTTGCCAATTAACACTTAAGTGGAGCACAGGGTGATGCATGGAGAATCTCAGTTCAACAAACAACCACAGGAGAAATTGAAACAGAAGAGCTATGGGGAACGTACTCAGCAGCTGAAGGGGCCACAATGTGGAGGTGACGGCACAACACAGGTGGAGCCACAGGATCTGCTTACTGGGTGGAGTACCTCGGGGTTCTTGGGATAGAGCCAGACTGACCAACTCAACCACAAAGGGCAGAGTTCTGGTAAACCCCAGGAGGGTCTTATCTAAGGGCGCACAAGGGGGAGGTCCTGGCAGGCAGAGGAGACTATTGCTCACAAGGGCTGCAGGGGAAGACACATCACACACTTCCATTTACCTGTGACTCTGTAGGATGCTCTCTAGGGAATATGCTTGTGCTTATATGAGACGCCAGTGTCAATTTTAAGACCCTGCAGGCCTCCTGGCCACACAAAGTAGATGCCAAGACAGCAGTACCATGGAATAGCTTAGCTAAACTCCCAACAAAAATAAAAAATCAGATTTGTTCAGTGGATTCTTGAAATCCAGGACAATGATTTGTGTACAAATACATTTTTGTGTATATGTACTGATATTTACCTGGTGGCTTCTGGATTAGATTCGATCATTCTCCCACTAGCCCTGTCTGGTCTGGCTTTGCCAATGTGGAGACCATAAGAAGAGGTAGCGTGAGGATAGAACTATTGTAACTTCCATATTCAAGCAAAGCTGTGACCTTCAGTTCCTGAAAGGTTGTGTTTCTAATCCCATATTTGTTGAAAGCTTCAAGAGGCCACAGTTACAAACCTGTATTTACACCTTGGTGCCCCAAGGGAAGCTCATTAGAATCATCAGTATAGGGCTTAAAATAACACAGTGGCTGGGTCCACTGAAGGACATGACCTTAACACAGGGACATTTAAAATGCCCCCAGATGCATGTAAGGTGTATCTGAGCTCAAAGCACAACGTAACTGAAAAGAACAAGATGCCAGATCTTCCCAATGTGAAATGGGAGAGAAGATGAAGGTGTTCACCTATGAGGGGCACCCGTGAGCAGCAACAACTGGACTTCAGGGAGGGTCTGGCTGTCCTCAGCCACCACAGGTTGTGGAGGCCAAGAAAAACAAGGCTGTACCCACCTCGAGTCTAGTCCAATTTCCAGAGACAAATAACTCAGTTCCTTAAGCCCTAATGTCACCCTCCCCTCCATAAACAAAACTGAAGGAGGCTGAGGTAGAAGGAAAAGTAAATAAAGTTAAATTTCTTCTAAACCCAAATCTCACTAACAAGGACGCTTGATAGCAAGAATGTGACATTCCACCAGGAAACTCCCAATTGTCTTCATGCTAGTGCCTCATTAAAAGGAAAAACGGCCTTGGCTTGATAGTAGCCAGGCTTTCAATATCCTGACAGTCTTCTTTACCCTGATAGCCCTTCTGAACACCCCCTTTGTCCTCACCCACTGCCGAGTCCACCCCTACTCTGCTTTTAAAAACTCTGACTGTAATCTGGCTCGGGGTCCAAGTCCCTACTCCGCTGTGTCAGGTATACTTGGGCCCAAGCTTAAGCTTGTCAAATAAACCCTCATGCAATTGCATCGGTGCTTGGCTCCTTGGTGGTCTCTCGGACGCGAAAACTTGGGCACAACAGGGTGTCTGAACAATGAAAGCTAGACCATTCTGAACTGACTGATCTCAAGCCAAGGGCAGGTAATAGGCTGCCTTTACTGATCACACATATACCTTGTTAGCTTATATTTGCTCCTATCTAACTGTGGGGAGATGTCAGAAATTCTATGCACAGGCTGGTCAAAGGACCAAACCTGGATCGGGCCACCATCTTTATTCTGTCCCCAATGAATATGCCCAGAATATGTGGGAGATCTATCTTTTCAGTGCTTATAGCCAAATCATGGAAATACATAAGCAAGAAAAGGATAGACTTTGAACCACATTCAAAATAGACCCCCTAGAAACCCAAAAGGAAGGAAGGTAACTCCTAAACCCTCCCTGCTGAAGGATTCTTCTAAGAATCATTGCCATAGCCTCTCTGTCCCAGTCATGCCCCCAGGTGCTCCCACAACATCCCTTACTCTGCCCCTTCAGGGCTACTCCCCACAAGGATCCCTGAAGACAGAGTTGCTCATCAGACTGGGTGTCTATCACCACAATGCCTATCGCAGGGGTAATGATTGGAGGCCAAGCTGGGTTGGGAAGGAGGCATCATCAGGGAGCAGGTGGGACATGATGACTGGAGCTACCATTCTCTGAGCTATCCTCAGAGGCCCTGGGACGACTTTCTATGTGTTAAGAGGCTCATGTGCAGATGCCCTGATGGTGTCCATGGAAGGCAGAGCATTTTATCAGCTTCACTCACCCACCTCCAATCTCTGTGACTAGATATGGCCCCTCCTCAGAAGGACCACCCTATTGTGAGTCTGGCCCCAGAGCTGGAAGAGAGAAACAGGTGTCTGTTCCTTGGCAAATTTGTCTACATTCCTTTTGAGTGGGATGGATGAGGGGCATGGAGAGATTGGAGGATGAATGAATAGGTGAGCAGGTGCATGGAAGGATGGATGGATGGATGGATGAATAGATGAGTAAGTGAATGAATAAATACACCAACCAACCAGTGGGGACCCTGCAAGGACCACTAGGATGGCCTCCCATGAGCTGGGGAGTCTGATTGACTCAACATTCTGCACCTACAGTCAAGGTAAGAGCAGTAATGATGATGAATTCTCCATCCCTTGTCACAGGCAGCAACATTTACAAAATATAAAAGATGTGGGAGAGTGCAAAAACAGATGGGAACCCAGAAAGTGCTCTGAGATATGTTTAATACTCCTAGTACTAAACAGACCTGAGACTACAGACTGACTGTTGTTCTCTGGAGGGAAAGGAACATCTTTTTTTTTTTTTTTTTTTAAGATTTTATTTATTTACTTGTCAGAGAGAGAGCACAATGAGAAGGCAGGAAGACAGAGGGAGAAGCAGGCTCCCCACTGAGCACAGAGCCCAATGCGGGACTCAATCACAGGGCCCTGAGATCATGACCTGAGCTGAAGACTGATGCTTAACTGACTGAACCACCCAAATGCCCTAGGAATTTTTGCTTGAGGAGCCAGGGGCCCCTTCTCTGCCTATTTCTGCACGCAGGTACTGTTCAGGAGGAAGAACTGGGAAAGCCATGGTCTGGCATCCACAATAAAGGTGCAGTCCAACTGAAAAAAAAAAGTAATTATGAGATTGGAACAGTTTAACACATGGAGAGCACTTCACATGAAGGACTGAGTAGGAGTTCACTATACATGAAAACTACCAATGACAAAAAGCAAAAAGAAACAGTAGCCTAGGGTAAGATCTGAGGAGCTCAAGTCTCCACCAAAATGATGGGCAGGGGTTGCTGAATCTGCACATGTGGGTCGGGGGCTCCTGAGAGGGTCCCACTAGGACCCCACTGAGACCCATGGGTCTTGCCAGTACCCATGACATTTCCTGGATTCCCCCTGCCCCCATGAGTTCTGAGGGAGCCAGCAGACTGCTCAGGAGATGGTCCAGCTGGACACTGGACACTCAGCAAGAGCTGCAAACCTACCCAGAGGGGGGGCTTTCCCTAAGGCTGGGGTGGAGGGAAGATTGGGACATGTCCTTGAAGCCCAGGATATTAGAGGGGGATGTGGGATGACTAGATAAATTAAAGAGTCCTCCAAAACCAAAATAAAGGAAGAGTTAGGATCACAGAGACAGAACCCAAGGTTTCAGGAAATATTCAGGCTATGTTCTAGAGAAAGGGCTTCATCCTGGGAGAAAGGTCATATGGGTATTTTCAGGGTATTTCTGGTGGGCCAGCCAGGGGAATGCAGAGCTCAGCTTCACTACTCTGCTGGAAGCCACTCTGTCTTCTTAGTGTGACCACCTTCCCTCTCTGGGTGGAGTCCCGAGACCTGGAGGGAGTGGGCCAAGACCTTCATTGTGGCCCAGGATCATTCCTGACATCTTCTCTAAGCTTCCTTTCATAGACCTTCCTTAATATTATTGTTAATTTTATTATCAACCCTTTTTCTTTCCTGGGCCTTCTTGTAAGGAGCAGCTGTTTAGGTCTTCACTCTGTTCTTTTTTTTTTTTTTTTTTTTTTTTTGCAATTTAACTTTTTAAAAAATTTTTTTTAATTTATTTTCAACGTAACAGCATTCATTGTTTTTGCACCACACCCAGTGCTCCATGCAATCCGTGCCCTCTCTAATACCCACCACCTGGTTCCCCCACCCTCCCACCCCCCGCCCCTTCAAAACCCTCAGATTGTTTTTCAGAGTCTATAGTCTCTCATGGTTCACCTCCCCTTTACAAATTGTGCAGTGCAACATCAACTCCATTAAAAATATCATTGTCCACCTCTGTCGAGAAGAAATTATAAAACAGCTGCTACATATTTGCTTCCCATGAATGAATAAAATAGAAAAGTGGGCAAAAGCATAGAGTGTCTATAATATGGACTCTCTCTGGTTCTTGCGGGGGGCGGGGAGGGGAAATCCCTATTAAGCTAGTTCTGTTTTTTTCCTGGAGAATGGAGAAGGAGGTGGTAGGGTACAGGGAGGGAGTAGGTGAGGAGAAAATGGCATGGCACACCCAGTCATCTCAGTTAGAATCCCAGAGTCTATAGGTAGTAGTGTGTTGAGGCTTTGGCACTGAAAGAAGGCAGACAGTGATTACCTCCTTTGTAATAATAGACAGGAAACTGAGTTTGCTATTGTGCTGCTGCAGCTGCCTGCTCTGAAACTTTGTGAAACCATTGATCTGACTTCAATGAACCATAATACTATTGATTTGGTGTCAGATCACTGGTAGGCACTTGAGTGACAGCTTGAGTGGATGTGATGTTACATTTAAATTGTCCTTTTGTTTGCTTTCTAGTTGTCAAAATCTCTTGATAGAATGTGTGCTGCCAAATGCCTGTACAGTCCTTATTAAAGTTCAAGTACCAAGAGCAAAAAAAAAAAAAAAAATGGGCAAAAGACTATAATATGAACATAAATAGAATATTCAAATCATGTGCAATTTCTCTGTAAGCATATGATCAACAGAAAGGTTTCCCTAAATGCACCTGAAGCATGTACTGAAATCTTTCCTGAGGCACTCCTCCTGATGGCCTGCACCTGCTAGTCGCATCTACAGTGCCATGAATGCACAGGAGGGAATAGGCTCACAGGATCAGAGGCTGCACAGCAACGAGCCTGCATGGGCCACAGCAACCCTAACAGCACCACTGATCTCTCAATTGTATGCCTGTGCGATGTCATCCAGACACAAGGGGAGCACACCAGAGACTCCTCCTCTAGAGAGTAGGGTAGTGGGTCTGTTAGTCCACTGATGAGCCATCGAAGCTGGTGGTCCCTTTCAGGGCAGCATCTAGACAGGGATGTAGGGGGTCCTGGATGTAGGGGCTGAGGATGTTTGTCTCTTTATGTGGGATTTGGCTGCACAGAAAGGCTCTTCTTGCTAACACTGAACTGGATATTTATGAAGTAGCTGCTGTTCCATGTGTTTGTTTCGTTAGGCTTCTATCAGAAGTTATTAAAAGTTACCATTTCATCTTGTTAAATAGAAGTCCATGAAAATTCAAGAACTCAAACTTAGAAATGTAGCCAGAAATCACTGTGAGGAGTAACCTGCCTCTCATTGGACTGACCTGGAATTATCTAGAAGGCTGACTTGTTTGGGGCTTAGTTTTTGTAACTGACACATGATATCCACTCATGCCCCAACACACACCAAAAACTCTCTCTCCCTTCTCCCTCTCTCTCTCTCTCTCTCTCTCTCACACACACACACACACACACACACATATTCCCAACCTCACTTACACAGTCCCCAGACCCTGAGCTAGGACAGGGCACAAGGGCTGGGAGAACAGGTATAGTACCTGTGCCCAAGGAGCTCCCACATCCTCCAGGTGTCCAGGATTGGCTGCTGTCCAAGGAAGAGGCAGAGGGTCAGGAAATGGGAAAGATTGAGGGAAGCTGGTGGGCTCTATGCAGGGAGGGGGCCACACCCAGTTTCTTCAGGAATGTGGTACAGAGGTAAGACCTTCCCTATCAGAGCCCTGCTGGCATGGCATCCAGCTCAGGGCTGTTCATGCAGGGACCATAATCTGGGCATGGACAGAATGATTCCAACTCTCCTTTTTCTGGGCCTGCCCAACCTCCAACAACTTGTATGAGTGTTCTTCCATGTTGTCTTCACTGAACTGAGCCAGAGCAAACTCCACAGATGTCACTAAATAATCATGGTTCTTACTAATGTCTACAAATTCTTTTTGGTTGGTCCAGACATGAGTTCCCAGCGCAATGAGTACCAGAAGCAGAGGCGTCTTCAGGAACATGCTGTCTTTTGTCAGCATCAAGGTCGGGGGACACATGGGAGGAGGGGGTTGCAGCAGCTTCTGGGCTGCCCTCCACATCTCCGGATCCCACACAGCCCTGTTCTCAGAGCTGCTGACCTCCCCCCTTTGACTGGAGCCTCTGTCCATCTACCTGCCTTGTCCCTTCCATATTACCAAACAGAAAGAATGGAGGAAGAGGGGTCACAACTTCACCCCTTGTCACAAAAACCCTGGACACAAAGCATGCATGCAACATGGTCTGTTCCCTGCACATTGCCAGGGCTGCCTGCCTGAGTTGCTATTTCAGTCCCCATCCTACAGAGCATTGTATCCACCTTGTCTGCTCCCATGGCAGTGCATCAACTGAACAAGTCACATAGATTCCTGGGAATGCTGATGAGCCCATTTATGGGATTGGAGGCAGTTGCCAAGGCTGCCTTCAACCTTGGCTGGAGCCCCCCACCACCCGGACCCAGGAGAGTACAGGGTGGCCAGCCAGCAATGAGGAAGGTTGGGGAACTGTCTAATCTACTGTCCTGACTTGGCCTCTGCCAGAAGGTTCATCTGGCTTCATCCTCCCAGTTTGGTATGATTGGTTTTCCCTCCCTTCAAAATATGTTCTCAGTTTCACTGTGACTTCTTTCTTGATCTGTGGGCTATTGTGACTGTGTTGTTTAATTCCTACCATAGCCAATTTCTAATCATCCTCTCTCCTGTTGACTTCCAGCTGAAATCCACCATAGTCAGAAAATACCCTATTATTTAACTTCTTTGAAATTTGTTGAGATTTGTTTTATTGCTCAGAATATGACCAACATTCTATATGTTCTTGAAGGTATATTCTGTATTTTTTAGGAGTTAGATACCACTCAGTACACCGTTTCCTTCAAACCTTCCATATACTTACCCTTTTTTGCTTTGTTTTGTTATATTGAGTTTGGTTTGCTTTGGTTTGGGTTCAGGTTTAAGTCTCTTTTTCTGTCTATTGCTCAGAAATGTGTTAAAATCTCTCATTGTGATTGATAATGAATTTGTTCTTTTCTCACAGTGATTGCTTTATGTATTATGAGACTCTGTCATTAAGTGCTTATACAAATAGAACTGTTATACCTTCTTGGTGGTCAAACATTTTACCATTATGTGTTAGTTGTACCTTTTATCCCAAGGGATTTCTCTTGCTCTGCAGTCTGCATTGGGTGATATCAGAGCTCCTACATCACCATTGTTGTCATTATTTTTCTCATGATACATCTTTATCTATCCTTTTACTCACGGTTGGTGTCCTAATCATTAAGATGTGGCTTTGTGAGCAGCAAACAGTTTTTAAAATCTGTCTAGAAGTCTTTTATTTTGAGGGTTTATTCCATCTACAATGACTCATATTACTGATCACTGACAACTAGTATTACCACCACTATTGATGGGTTTGGGTTCCAATTGACCATACAAATATTTGTTTTCTATTCATCTCATTGTCTGTTCCTTCTTTCCTTCTTCTTTCTTGAATTCTTTTTCAAGTTCAAAGTTTCCATTTATTCCTCTCCATGGCTTTATTTACTCCTTATTTTACTCTTCTTTTGTGGTACTATTAACAATTATGACAAGCATCATTGAGTTACTTGTATCTAATGTAAATTAGTACTTTTACCATTTCAGAGCTGGTGAAAAGACCTTAGAAGACTATTACTCCTAACTCCCTGTTATTGTTATCAAGTGGTTAAGTTTTGTATATTTGAAAGACCACAACAGTATGATTGTCTTAAGTTAATTGAATTTAATAACATATTTACCTTTCTGCTCTGCATCCTTCAACATTATTTTCACTGGGGTTATTTCTTATTCCCAAAGAACTCTCTTAAGGATTAATTTTTGGCTGGATCTAGATAATGTATCTTTTAATTAGTTAATTTGTTGTTGTTGTTGTTGTTGTTGTTGTTTTCAAAAATTGTCTTCTCACTAAACAACTGTACTTCCATGGGAGCCCTGTCCTAAGGGTTCAGCAAACTTCCCGCCTACCCCTGACATGTCCTTCAAGCATGGTTAATATATGGACTTTAAGATGATAAAGCTTTGGCTACCTCTCAGAAGAGTTGCTATGCCATATGTTCATTATCTTTTGATTGAAAGTATTATCTTATTTTCTATGTGATTTCTTCTTTGACCCTTGGCTTATTGAGAAATATACTACTAACTTTACAGGATCTAGAGTTTTCCAGATTGTTTTTATTGCAGTTGTCTACTGTGTGAAGCATAAACAATGAATCTCGGAACAGTGAAAAAATAAAATGAAGTTTAAATTTAAAAAAATACTCTGAACCCTTTTGATCTTTTAAAATTTTTGAGATTCTTCTCCTTTTTGATGGTCTGAAATGTTTTTATTTTACCTTCATTTTTCAAGAAAAATTTTGCTGGCTATAGAATTCTACGTAATTAGAGTTTTCATTTCAGTTCCTTGAAGACTCGAAGTGGCACTTCTTAAACTGGTCTATTTCCAATTAACATGCAGGTTGTGGCCCTTCATGCTCTCAACTGAAGTCCTGGGATATTTTCTACAGCTCTTCTTCTTGGCAGGTGCTGAACTCCAGGTTTTGTCCCCTATTTGAGGCAAAGAAACACCTCTTCCCCAGGGCACTGAAAGTCACTGCCTCCCACTCCTCCATTCACACCCTGGTGCCCTGTCACTCCTCTCTCCTCTCCAGGTCTTGCTTTGAGTCAAGAAAGACAGAGATGATACAGTTCCACACCACAGGAGTGTCCATCACCACCTGTCTTTCCCAGCAGCAGTAAGTAGTGCCTATAACCTAAGTTCTCACCATGAAGACAAGGCTGAGTCCCCAGGTAGGGGAGTTTAAGCATCAAGGAGCAGGTAGGGATGTGCTGAGTTGAACTGCTGCCTTCTAAGTTCATTTGCAGTCCTGGTGAAGGCTTTCCTTCAATCTGGTGGTCCCTGTGCCCTGGTGGGTATCTATAGGTAGATGGAACCTCCCTTGGCCACCCTCTCATGCCTCTCAGATTTAGGTATGACCCATCTACAGAATGCCTGTGCCCTGTGAGCCTGGTGGCCAGAGTCTGAAGCAGAAGTGATGTGGTCCTTGCTTCCTGGGAAATTCTCCTATAAACGTTGACTTTCAGGAGGTTTGTGTGAAAAGAAAGTCAGCAGGACCATTTCCCTCCTTCCCTATAGAGATCAAGCCTCCAGGTGACTGGACTCACTGGAGACTCATAGACAAAGCAGAGAGCTGCCCAGGTCAGGACCCCTGGGAATTCTACTGGGGTTTGACAGTTACTGCTCCAGAATGGGGCTTAGGACTGAACAGATATGTATTCATCCATGTCCACAGAGGCATTAGGCACAATAGCCAAAAGTCTGAAGTAACCTATATCCACCAACAGATGAATGGATAAACAAAATATCGTATATCTACACAACAGAATACTATTCAGCCTTAAAAAGAAAAGAAATTCTGTCACAAAGTATATGAGGGCATTATGTTAAGTGAAATAAGCCAGTCACCAAAGAACAAATATTGTATGACTTCACTTATATGAAGTACCCTGGAATATTCAAATCCATACAAACATGAAGTGGAAAGGTAGTTGCCAGGGACAAGAGGGTGGGAAGAGATGAGATATTTCTATCTGATGAGTGCAGAGTTTAAGTTTAGGAAAATGGGAAAGTTCTAGGGATGGATGGTGGTGATGTTTGCACAACAATGTGAATGTACTTAATACCAATAGAATGTAAAATTAAAAATGATTAAAATAATAAACTTCATGTTATGTATCTTTTGTTACAATAAAAACATTACATATACCTATTAGGGGCTCAGGGAAATTCTCAGTTACAAAAGAGAGAAGCATATGGTTCTGCAGGGAAGGCCATGTTGCTCCCATCACACATGCTGGCACCACCCTCCAGAGCCCATGTGTCAGCAGGGAGAACAGGAGGGAAGAGAACCCCGTCCCTGAACATAAACCAACTCTAACCTTCTGGCTCTCCTCTGCCAGTCTCCCAGCTGGCCTGAGCTGGGTGCTGCCTCTTTCTACAGCAGTGTTGTCCACCAGGGGCTAATGTTGGCCCCTCTCAAAGCTGCGCCATGTATCTCAAAACACCTGATGCTTGCCTGGGTGTCCAATTCTTATATCACATTTAAGATCAGTCATTCCCAAGGAAACATTAAAACTCAACAGAACACAACAGAGTAACTATTATAAGAATATTTTATCCTCTGTGGAGAAAGGAAAACCCTCTTACACTGTTGGTGGGAGTGAAAGCCGGTAGAGCCACTCTGGAAAACAGTAAATGGAGGTTCCTCAAGACGTTAAAAATAGAGCTACCCAATGGCCCAGCAATTGCACTTGGTATTTACCCCAAAGATACAGACGTAGTGAAAAGGAGAGGCACATGTGCCCCAATGTTCATAGCAACAATATCCACTATAGCTAAACTGTGGAAGGAGCCAAGATGTCCTTTAACAAATGAATGGATAAAGAAGACATGGTTCAGATACACAACAGAATATTACTCAGCCATCAGAAAAGATGAATACCTACAATTTGCATCAACATGGTTGAAACTGGAGGGGATTATGCTAAGTGAAATAAGTCAAGCAGAGAGAGACAATTATCATACAGTTTCACTCATATGTGGAACATAAGGAATAACATGGAGGACCATAGGGGAAGGAAAATAAAACTGAAGAGGGTGGAAATCAGAGAGGGAGACAAACCGTGAAAGACTCTAGACTCCAGGAAACAAACTGAGGGTTACAGAAGGGAAGAGGGTAAGGGGATGGGGTAAAAAAGGGTGATGGGTATTAAGGGAGCACCTGTGGTAATGAGCACTGGGTGTTACATACAACTAATGAATTGTTGAACACTATATCAAAAACTAATGATGCATTATATGTTGGTTAATTAAATGTAATAATAAATAAATAAAATAATATTTTATCCTTTTGAGATCTGAAAGTTTAGAAAGCAATGTTTTTTTAATGGTG